CTGCCTAGCCGGTCCTCCCTCCTGGTTCCCCCTGAGTCTAAGGAGCACTGCCTAGCCAGTCCTCCCTCCTGGTTCCCCCTGAGTCTAAGGAGCCCAGCCTAGCCGGTCCTCCCTCCTGGTTCCCCCTGAGTCTCAGGAGCCCAGCCTAGCCAGTCCTCCCTCCTGGTTCCCCCTGAGTCTCAGGAGCGCCGCCTAGCCAGTCCTCCCTCTTGGTTCCCCCTGAGTCTCAGGAGCGCCGCCTAGCCAGTCCTCCCTCCTGGTTTTGATGTTTATACCCCAGGCAGGGATTCTCATATCACCTGGCTAGAACAATCTAACCCTGAAACCTCCACACAGCTTTGGGATTTGGTTTCTCCTGGGTGACTATTTTCCTCCTCCTGTGCCTCCAACCTGCTTCTTTGTTGCTTCCCAGCTTATGGCTGGAGCTTTTGGGGGTACACTTTAGCTACACATAATGATAACATTCATCATAGGAATTTGCACCTTTCATGATCTATCTTGCTGGTTTCTTTGTCCCCCACCTCCAGCCCCCTCCTCTCCCTTCAACCCCTTTCCCTACTTATTTATAAAAGCTTTATTTCCATTTCTTTTTTCTGTTCTCTAGAGCTTTCACAGAACAGCTCTTTGAAGCTGCAGGTCTAGGCAAAGGGCTCAATTCCCAGTCCTCAGCCGTGGGTGTATGCATGGCTACACCTCTGACCCCAGAGTGAATCTTAGAAACATATCACCTAATTCCTAGGGCTGCAGCCAAAATGAGTTCCAAGAGGGCTGATCTGCGGCAGCCTGCCCTGGGCTGGCTTCTCCTGTTAGGTCCTGAGGAGTCCCTCACAATGGGCTGGGCTGGTAATGACCCAGCACTTCTACAGTGCTGGAGGGGAGGGGTGCCATCCTCACCCCTTCAGTCAAGCAAGCTGCTGGACTCCTCCCACCTTAGACGGAAAAGCTGTCACCCCGGAGTTCTAGCGTATCAAGCTGACTGGTAGCATGGGAAATTACATGACCTTATATATCTATTAGCATTTGTTTATCAGAACTACTTTTCTCTTGGAGACACATTCAAGTTGAGTCACTAAGGTCTAAAGAAGAACTGCACAGAAAGGCAGAGGAAGAGGGAAATTGGCCATTTTGGACTGGGAGGGCTCGCTGGAAGGCTGCAAGGTCTGGGAGCACAGAACACCATGGAGGCCTGGGGGTATAGAGACAGGGCCAGCGAGAGGTCTGGGAGGGACAGGCCTGGCATTCTAGGTGCTTGGAGGCTCGCTGGTCTGACTCCCAAATTTAGCCTTTGCGCCTTGAAGGTCAGAGTTCAGCTCCAGAATGGCTGAGCTGTCA